GAACTTCCGTTCTATGAATGTTTTATGAATGTTTGCTGGCTGATTTTTTTTTTTCCTGGCTCACAGATTCCTAGTGCTCATCATATTCTATAAGGCTTAAGCTCTCCAGGCAGCCTCCCATGATTGCCATTCTGTCAACCTTGAACTTCAGTTAGCTGTCCCTGCAGGTGATGATTTCGTGCAAATGCTCAGGTAGTTTTGAAGACATATTTAATATTTAGATAAAACACTTTCCTAAGAGGCACCTGGTTTTGTGTTACGGTTGTCCTGAACACTGGACTCTGTAAAAAGATTAAAGAGGGAGGAGATATGTATTTCAGCTTGTTTACCCCACCAGCACTCCCAGCATACAGTGTGGCTTTGATTTCGATTTCCCGGATGTGTTTCTGGAAGGTTTTCTGTTGTCCTCCACAAAAGGAACTTTTCACATCCGAATTTTCTTAGGGTGGTATGGTTTTGAACAGAGTCCGTAAAGACAAGACCTCCTTATTAAAGAAGTGGGAACAGCACTGGAGGAACTGCATATCAACTCAGATTCATCCCCAAGGCCTTAATCTGAAAAGAATTATTTATAGTGATGATTTCATTATAGCAGTTATAACCCAGTTCCATTATGACCAAATGACTTGGAAAATCCACAAAAACTTTTAAAACGGAGTTTTGCCTCTTTATGCTGTGTCTAGCATATAGTGGTACTCTTAACACATTCAGTTAAAGAGTTCTAAAAGGGTTTGCTGGAAAACCAAAGCTTTTCAGTGGAAAAAAAAAAAGGAAAGCTGTTTTCGTTAAAAAAAAAAAGTGGGAGCTGATCGTAGAGAAGGGGGAAGTCTAAGGGACTTTTCCTATGTGGGTGGTTGTTCTGTGTATCATTTGTATCGGCTTCTGCTTCAAGGCCCTACCCCTACTTCTTGAAGGACCTTGCTCATCTCCAGCTACCAAGGTAACTTTCAACTCTTCTGTGACAGTGTTATTTATTAGCTTAATCAAGTGATGGTTTTTCTCAAATGACATAATTAACTATACCTGTGGACTAAGTGTTGCATTTTTAAGAAAGGCATGCACCTAAGGAAAGGTGGCCACAAAACCCCCCTGTACTCTTGCCCTGCCATGCATGTCTTGGCCTTTGCAGTAAGGAGTGTGGGCTGTGGCTGCCTTGCCACCTGTGAATTTAATTAGAAGAGACTGGAAGGGTAGCGAACGTGATCTTCACCAAGCCCTCATCGTCAGCACTGGACTGTATTTTTCATTTTTCAAAGCTTCTTTGCCTTACATGTATGGATGTGTGAGGCTAATACACACTTCCCAAACATGATCTCTTTAGATTTTCACAACCCTCTTAGGTAGACCTAGTTCTCACCAGGAGTTCGCACAGAAATGAAGGCTTGTGAGAGGGTTACACACCTGGATTGGACTGAAGTAGGATTTAAACACGGGTCTTCCTGGAATTTTCTAACTTCACTCTTGGTCGTCGTGTACAAGCCAATGGGCTTGAAAACCAATTTTTTTTTTTCCCCCCGAAAGACACTTGTAATAAGGTATTAGACTGGATGGTTACTGAAGGCTTCCCCTGCCCCCAGCTCTGTTCTGTGATGCTGAGTAGACTCCATTTAAGAGCACTGCCATTCGAATGAAATGAATCTGGGAGACTGGCTCTAGCTTTCTGTTCTTCTGGTGCTTACTGTTGCAGTTTATAAGTGTGCTCATCACTCACACAGGCTGAGCAATACAGGGGACACAAAGGTCTGCAAGACACTATCTCTGTCCTTCAGGGACTTGGCTATGGTGGGACCAAGGAAGGTGCATCGTGATCCCAGCAGTGGACATAGTGTGGTGTAGACAGAAGGATTGTGGGTATCTGAGGCTGGAGAGACACGGCCATTTTCCAGAAGAACATCCTCCTATCATAAAAGCAATCCAGGTACAGACAGGTTCAGTGGGAGTGGCAGTTAGACCCTGGTTTCTGCCCACATGGCTGTGTTCCCCCACCTTGTTTGGGAACCACCCAACATATAAAAACTCTAGGGACCTGCTTAGTATGTAGTCACATCAGGAAAGAGCTCCATGTCCCAGTAGCCCTCTCCCTCCCCCACAAAAGCCAGACAGCAGTTAAAACTTCATATCTCTTCACTCCCTTCTGCCCCCCACCCCCAACCCATACTATAGAGTTTTGAATGAACAGGAAAAAAATAGTTGGCTTGCAGACTCAGGTGTACAAAATAATATGATAGTGAGGGTGGCCCCAACAGGTGTCCAGCTTTTGTTGGAATCCTCTTCTCATGCGTGTGTCTAACTGGAAGAGGGAGAATTAATTTTTCTCACACACCTGTGAACTTCACTGTTGCCGAAACGCTGTCTTCATCCTTCGATGCACAAGTAGAGAGAGAGGGTTTCCCCTGCCTTTCTTGCCTGGAAGACAGTCATGGAATTTGCGCTTCTGAACTACAAAACAGAACTGTGACTTCCTTCGAACAGCTTCTCCCAAAGAATAAAAATAACAATAAACCAGCATTCCTGTGCTTACCGCGTCTCAGGTTTTATATTTAATACTAAGCCCTTCCCATGAATTATTTCAGAACTAAGACTTGATCCATGATTAGGATTCAAGTCTCTTAACCTTTTGTGCTTGTATGGAACTTTGTGGTTCTCTGGTCTAGGAGTCATGGCTGAACGGAAGAAGTACCTGTGGCCCTCCATAGGCAGATCCAAGATGCCTGGGTCCTGAGCCCAGACCTACTGAATCAGGTCCCTGTGAAGCTTTCTTAGTCATAGGAACCCATGTTTGTGATAATCATCTTGAGAGATGCTTGACTCAGCAAAGCTGAGAAATGTTGAAGTCTCACTGCTCTTCTCCCATCATAGACTTACACACTTGTTTTCTTCCATTGTTTTTGTGGTCCCATTCCCTCAAAGTCCTTCAGCTCTTCGGTGACAATCTCCCCTCCCCTGGCCTGGTGCTTCTTCCCAGGGGTCCCAGAGATTTTCCAGTTATTCTAAACTGTCTGAGGCTGGTCTGCGTTCATTTCAGCGGTTGCGTATCTCTCCAGATAGAAAACTTCTAGAAGGCAGCAGTTCTCATTTTCCTTTCCTCCTGATGGTCTCCAGTCCATCTGATATGTGTGTCCCTTACTGTTTTCCATCTCCACCCCAGCACACAGTGGGAGTGTTTTTGTTGGATAGTTTTCAAGTTGTCCTAGACAGAAATGGTTCCTAAAAACTTCTCAGCGCATGTCTGTGAGATGCTGGCCCTGGCCTTGGAGTGGCAGTCCTTCACTTTGCTCACTTTGGTTGTATCCAGACTTTTGTGGCTGCTGATGAAGGAAGTGTTACTGGGTGCTTTGAATTTCAGTGTTCTGATTTCAAAATGATAATTCACAGTACAAGGCTTCTGTGAGCCACTAGTTACCATCTGTCTTTCTCTGAAAGTGTCCAGTTGCTTGTAGGGATCATTAAGCCTGGCTCTTGGACATGTGACTTCTTTTTCTGCTTTTTGTTTTTTTCTGGGAGCACCTGGAAAGTGCGTATTTTCCTTTCTAAACATACCCATGGAAAATTTAGAAGCACCTTTTTAAATGCCTTCCTCACACTTAACGGTGGTAAGAAATACTCTTACTCTTATCACACCCCTTCTTCACCTATTTTTTTTTTTTAAAGGACAAGAAAAACGTAAAGAAAACTAACTGCTTGGTGGTCCCTGAACTCAAGAGGCGCTAGTGGGCAGCACTGGAACCCTCCTTCTTTTCTTTTAATGCAATTCCTTTTCCTTGATGTTAATGCAAGTTGTGCCTTCCTAAAAGTAATAAAAGGAAATGAAGACACGTTCTAAAATGAAAGTTGACTCTAATCCATTCATCATCTAATACTAGCCTCTTTATCTTTGCTGGTACCTAATCTGGTTAAATGTCCCTGTTGTAGGATTTTAGTGAAAATCCTCTATTGGGAATAGGGTTTTTTGCAATTGGATTACTCTCGGTAAATGGCCCAGTAGTTCGCTTGTTTCAGCTTAATTTTTTCTTTGTGATCTTGCTGGGCTAAGTTACAGCATTGCATGGGGAGGGGGAGGGGTGGTTGAGAGTAGGATAGGGGAAGGAATGGAGAATAATTTGGGCAGGTCTGATCATTGCAACTAGAAAAACCTTTAAGGTGCTTTTCTTTTTTTTTTTTTTTAAGCCTCCTTCTCTCCACCTATCAACACTTCCCAAACAAAAATTGCCTGTATGTTGTTTTCCAGAACTGCTTGTTTCTGAAATGTGTACATACCCTTTATTAGTTCAATTCATCATCATCCAGTTAATTTGTTAGCATTCCCTGTGACTTCCTAATGAGATTCGTAATGAATCCAGGCTGCTGTAATCTGCATAAAATATGCAGGTGCTTGCCTGGCAGTTTAGAGCTTTCTGGTAAAGTTCACACTCCCATTCAGACCAGAGTGAGGCTTTTCATCCTGGCTGCCTGTAAAGGATTGTAGCTTGCCCACTGGTTCTAAGGAGCCGGGAGGGGTTCAGAGCCTGGGGTGGTGGATACGGTGGCTGGGATTAGGGCCCTGCCAGTTTCTTGTAACGGAAGCCTTCCCCCCGTGAAGCCTGCCTGCCTGCCTGCCTCCCGAAGGTCCCTCCCGTGGGGCCCTGGGGTAGGAGAGACCACCACCTGCAGAAGCACAGTAGGCCTGGGGGATTAAAGCCAAGACTTCCGATTTACCTGCCAATGGGAGAAGTGCAGATTCTTGGGCTCTGTGATGGGTTGGTGGTGGCGGTGGTGGAGAAGGTATTTTAAAAGCCAGGCTCAGTGGTGGGGGTGGGGTGGGGTGTAAAGACCCAGGCACACCCACCCAGAGAGCTGAATCATCACTCTCTGCTATTTTAGTACACGGACCAGGGCCAGGACGGGTTGCCTGCACTTACAGAATCCAGGTGGGAGGGTGTGGTCAGGGCTGCCCGGGGTCAGGCTCCTGGGCTGCCCGAGCCAGCATGACCGTGTCCTCTTCTGTTTTCGCCTCCCTGCAGTCGAACAAAGTGCCGGTTGTGCAGCACCCGCACCATGTCCACCCTCTCACGCCTCTTATCACGTACAGCAATGAACACTTCACGCCAGGAAACCCGCCTCCACACTTACCAGCTGACGTAGACCCCAAAACAGGTAGGACGCATGCTTGGGTGCAGAGAAGGCGTGCTGGTCCCGGGGCCACCGGAGGACCTGCTGCGCTGGGGGATGCGGGGGTGCTTTGGGGACTTGGCTGGGGGCAGCAGTGGACGGGTGCCTGTTCTTCTCCCATGTGTTGGCCGGGAACCTCTTTTGGGAAACCAGAGCCTGGTGAGGGAGTGGATCTCTCCTCCCCTTCGGAGAAGTCCATTTTCAGCGCTCAGGTCTCTCCAGAGCTCCAGGTACCCCCGAGGGGCTGTCGTGGGAACCTTGCTGTGAGTCTGTTCTCAGGAGTAGCTATTCTCAGGAGTGGCTTGTGACTCCAAGAACCTCAGACAGACTCGGAGGCAGTGATGGTTTTGGAGGCATCGCATGGACTCCCCCTCAGCTCCCTAACAGTGTGGTTCCCTCAAGGCCCAGCTTCCTTGGTGGCTAAGAGACTGTATATAGTCCCCTGGCAATGACTTGGTGCAGCCTTGAGAGATCATGTCACTGGGTTCTGCATCCTCTCTGCTGATTTATTTGGGCTCTTCCTCCCCTGTAATATCCTGAGTCTTTATCCTTAAGCCCATTTTACAGACAGGAAAACCCAAGTTCAAGATGGTTTCCTCATTGCATCAAGAAACAGCCCTTAGGGTCTCAGGCAGAAGATGCCACATGACTCCAGCTTTTATACTTGTCCCTTCCTTTCCATCCAAGTGCTTTTTCTCAAAAGTGGGGAGAGGAAGAAGGCGAGGTTACTTGTAACTCCCCTGAAACAAGATTTAAAACAAATTGGGGTGGTCTTAGGAGAACAGCTAAGGCCAGGTTGTCTCTTTCCGGCCGGCGATGCACTTGCTGGCATTGGTTTCTCTTCCCAGCTGGTTAATTAGCAGGATGAATTCAGAATGGCTATTCCACGTCACTTGGTCGGAAGGAATTGTTGGATGCTGGGCCGAGGTAGACTGCCTGTTCAGGCCGTCTTTGCCGCCCTAAATGAAGCCACACATTAGCTGGTTTTCAGCAGCCTCTGAGCCCGCTTTGTGCTCGTGGGGGACCGAGCCTGGCGCTGGGATGGCTGGAGGAGGCCGCCAGCCGGCCCCAGGCTCCACGAGTGAATGGCAGTTTCAACGTCTCATTTAAATAATGGTAGTACAGGGAATAGCTTTTAAATGGTTATCGTAAAACATATGATTAACGTCTGCGGACTGTTTACTTTTCCTCTGCGAACATTCTTTCAAGTGTGCGAGTGGCTTGGTGTAGGGTCCAAGCCCAGCTAATCTGTTTGGTTTTTGTAATAGAGAGAAAGCAGTGTCTGCATGAAAATGTCACCCAGGGAGGCTTAATTTACAGATTAAAAGCTTCCTGAACGAATTTTTTAAAAAAATGAAATAGTTTTCATCTGCAAACACACAGCTCATTCCCTTCAGTCCTCTGTTAATTCTGAGCAATTGTTCATTTTGCTTTCCACTGGAGCAGTGTAGGTCTGCTCCTCTGGGCCTGAATTGTTCCCAGCCCTCTTGATTTCTAAGAAACCAAGGATTTCTCAATTGCAGGATATGTGCCTATGGAACTAATGGGTGTGGGTGCATGGACCTTCAGAACTCACTCATCAGCCCCATGGTCCAGCAGTACCCCATATGTGGTGGGCTCTGTCCTTAGAAAGCCAGGTTCTAGATCCAAGTGTACCAGGCCTCCAGCATCTCCTGGTCTGGTCAGTTCAGATTCTTCCTAGATATGATGTCAAGGCATTGGTTGAGTTTCTCCTACAGCTCATCTTCAAGGCAGAGTTCAACAGATCTAAACAGTGGTAAAGAACCCGCCTGCCAATGCAGGAGATGTAAGAGACACTGGTTCAATCCCTGGGTTGGGAAGATCCCCTGGAGGAGGAAATGGCAACCCACCCTGGACTTTTCACTTGCCTAGAAAGTCCCATGGACAGAGCAGCCTGGTGGGCTACAGTCCACAGGATCGCAAAGTCGGACACGATTGAAGCGACTTAGCACAACTTTTTTAGATGTTAATTTTTAGAAGCTGATTTCTTTTTTAGAAAGAAGTATCCTTTCTAAAAACCATAACTCAAAAAGTATGTTAGAAACCAGAGGAGTAACTCTCATGCAGGTAAGTCATTAGAATTAAAGAGAAGAAAAGGACAAGTTGTGAGGACAAAGGGATCTAATATCACTTGATCCCCTACTATGTGCCAGCCCCTTTAGATTTTTTTTCCCCCCAATTCAAACAATCCCACTGATCCCATGAGGCAGAAATATCCAAGCAAGCATTTTCTAAGTCTGTATGTGTTTAGCCAGTGTATGATCCATCTAGAAGAAGATGAGTTTTTCAAGCTGGTGTAGAGGGATAATGAGATGAAACTTACTGACAAGTCTTAGGATCAGACTCATGGAAAACAACTCATGCTAGGATTACAGAGGCGATGTCTCTCTCTATTCTGTCCTTGTTCCCATCACTTGATGGTTTCTCTTCCCTTCTCTCTTTCTCTTGCACCTAAACTGTGGCTGCTTCTTCCAGGAATCCCACGGCCTCCACACCCTCCAGATATATCTCCGTACTACCCACTGTCACCCGGCACCGTAGGACAAATCCCCCATCCGCTAGGATGGTTAGTACCACAGTAAGGAGTTCCATTTTTTAATTTCCTTTTTGTTTCTTACATGGGCATGCTTATTACTTATTCTGTGTGTGTGTGTGTCTGTGTGTGTTTAGAAGACAGTAGAGGGGAGGGAGGGCCGTGGGTGGGGAGTCATGGGGAAGATGCTTGTTGATCTGCCCAGTGGAACAGCAGGCAAGTCAGTAGCCATTCAGGTGGATGATATAAGAGAAAAGCTATTGATGTTCATCATTCTGCACCCATGGTCTCCAAAGGCTCTAGGTTCCTCTCTGTGAACTTAGATACCCTTAAGGTACTTTGGGAATTGCAGAAGACTCTGAGGGCTTCTCTCCTGTGAAGCCTATCATGCCTCTTCGGGTGGCAGCCCAAACTTGAGTCCTGTCATAGGACTGAGGCAGCAGAGGAGTGGGCTAGTTCTGAAATCCAGGAGTGGGAGTCAGAGGGTCACAACCCCACCTTCCACCGCAGCCATCATTCCCAAGATTGACAGCCACAGTGGAAGTTTGTGTCTGTTGAGAAGTTCCATGTTCTCCAACTGGCATCTCTCTCTGAGAGTATCTGCATATTAAGTGGCTCACCAAACTCTGAGGGAAGGGAGTGTGGGGCCGTTGGAAACCTCACTATATGTCAGCCCTAGGTCCTGGCAGCTCTCCACATCATCAAACTGCCTTTTACAGTTTGTCTTCCTATCACCTAGTCTAGCTTTTATAACACCACCCATTAACCTTTCCTAGACAACTTTAACATGTATTTTAAAATCAGAACAGAAAGTCCTTTAATGTATAAACATACTGTGTTTGTATTTGTGTGCATGCATGTAATAACGTGTTTTATGATGGTGTGCTTTTGTATATATCTTTCTCCATGTTTGTCAGTGATCTCTACTATTTAAAAAACACAGGACAATTTGTTGAATCCTATCAGGAATAAATCCTGGAAAAACTCTCTCAAGTTTGGGTCTTGGGGAAGTTAGCCTTTCATGATCTTAAAGAAGGTACAGTTTTGGAACTTTTCCCCAGTTCCACCTTGATTTCTCCAGCTCAGCATATTCTACAATTTCTTTTCTTTTTTTTTTTTTTAAAGAAAAAAGGAAAAAAAAACTCGTATTACACAGTAGCTGTACTAAATACCAAGCCCAAGCGTAGTTTATTTTTTGCTCCTGAATTTTGTTAGGAAGGGTAGATGTGGATGGGAGTATGTGTCCTATTTCTTCTTCTTCAGTGGGTGGGGCCATGCCTGCACTAGACTTCAGTCATCAGTTACCCCATTCAGCTGATGGGGAGATATTTGAAGGCTAGATAAAAAGGAATAGCCAACTCAGACAACCCTCTGTCAGGAAAAGTTGTGTGTCTTTCATGAGGATGCTATTTTGCATGTTGCTGTATTTTTTAATTATTGTAATGAGGTGTGATTGTCTATTGGTTACCCACAATTCTTCTTGGGGATTCTCCCCCCGGTAACTCTTGTCAACACTTGTTAATTTGACAAAAGGCTACAAATTAAGCTCTGTTAATTTAATGTTTTCTCACCGAGATCTAAATACCGAAAGAGGCCCAAAGCGCAACTGAAGTCCTTTGATTCACTGTACTTTATTTTGGTATAAATTTACATTCATTATTGTTTTCCTTTGGATGTGTAGCCCTCAATTAGTGTGATGGCTCCATTAAAGCAAGCGAGACTTCGCCTTTAATTATTACAACAAAACACCTAGTTTCAGCTTGGGGAGAGGGTCTCTATTGACATAAGCAAAGGTTATAAAATTTAATTAGCCATTCCTATCAGATTTATGGCATTCAAATTGTTCTGTGTTTCTTCCCTTTGATCCTTGCTGTACAATCCCCAAGATTTTTGTTCTGATCAAATGAGAATAAAGCTTACTGTGCAGAGAGAACTTTTCCTTTTTCTTCTTTTCCTTTTCCCCACCCCCCACCCCCATTTGCACGTTCTCACCATGTGCCCCGCTCTTTGTAGGCAAGGTCAGCCAGTGTACCCCATCACGACAGGAGGATTCCGTCACCCCTACCCCACAGCTCTGACTGTCAACGCTTCCATGTCCAGGTGAGTTCCACGACCTAGTGCCTTCAACCGAAGCCATGAGTCACTTTTCAGAAAGTTCTCTGGATGCTGCCAGACCATCTGGGCATGTCTGCAACATGCAGGTCTAAGGGTGTAAGACCCAGAGAGGGTTAGGCTTTTCTCCTAGAAAATACTGAAAAAATTGCTCTGAACTTCCCAGGTGGGTGATGCCAGAATTTTAAGGTTGAATTTCTGAGTCAGTATTTTTAAGAACTTAAGAAGGCAGGAAGAAATAATTAGGACGTGGGGAGCTTTTTAAAGTGTTATTCCTCTGTTGCCTGAACCGGTGAAGGAAGGAAAGAGTGTAGGTAAGTTTATTACTGTATATACAAAGAGGAATTTAAGGGAGGGTTATTGGTCTTTTCAAAGCTCCAGGCTCTTAAGCATAAACAGAAAAGAGCATTCCCCTCCTGCCCACCTCCTCCCCTACCCAAACACTTCTCTCTCTAAAGTAGCAGTGTCCAGTAGAAATGGAAGGTGAGCCTTGTATATAGGGAATATGCAAAGGGAATTTTAAGTTTTCTAGTAGCCATATTTTTTAAAAGAAGAGAAAAGGAAACTCAGACAAAATTATTTTTAATGATTGATTTTATTCAACCTAATAAGTCAAAATATCATTCTGACACATTATCACTGTAGAGCAACTATTAATGAGTTCTTAACTTTTTGTGTACTTAGTTTTGGAATCTGATGTGTATTTCACACTTAAAACACTTTTTAATTTGGCCTGGACACATTTCAAGTACACAGGAGCCCCATGTGGCTGATGGAGACCATGTTGGCCTGTGCAGCTGAAATCCTATGTATGTGTACAGTCGCATATCTTTAAGCATATAAATGTATATATAACATACAAATATCCCTGCATGTGTGTACCTAGATCTTTCTAATCCCCATGTTCTCCTTTCCCCCCTTTCTAATTAATTCTGGCTAATTTTTCAGTGACTGCTAGTTTATTTACAAGCTGGTTGGCAGCAGTATGTTTAAATAGTCACTAATTGCACCTAATGATAGTTTTATTTTCTGTTCATCTGATTTTCAGTCAAGTTAATTAAATCGGTGGAGGTTTAGACTTTCCTGATAGGCTGCAACAACAAATCCATTTTGAGGATGGCACCTAATTTAATGAGCATGCATTTACATGGCAGGGATGCCATCTCCCAGCCTCCTTCCCCAATCTCTGTAGCCAGCATGAGGACCCTAGACCAGAGGAAGGGTTGGAAAGACGAGCCACGACGCCTCTTTTCCTACTTACGGAACAGTGATTTTGGTGGAGGAAAGAGTAAGAACCACACTCATGAAGAAGCATAAATTGTAGCATCTGTAATGTTTGTCGTCATGCCATGGGTATCGTGCAGCTGTAAAGATCTGTTTCCCACATGTGATAAGTCATGTCAGTTTCTAAATCCACACCAGTATTGGTTAGGCGGGAAAATGCTTGTGTGTCCTCTCCTCTAGCAAGAAGAGGAAGGTTATTCTCATTAAATAATGTCACCACAACCTCGCAAAGCCTGGGAACGAATAGAGAGTCTCCCAGAAAGAGAACTGCTTCTGAGCACCTTCGGATCCACGACTCACCCTCCTCCGAACCAGCATTCCTCCACCGCACTGGGTTGTTTTTCGTGTTTGTTGCTTCGGAGCATTCCAGAGGTTAAAAGCGGTGCAGTAATCGTAGGATAGGGATTGAGGTTAAGCTTATCGATTGAATTATCATTAGGAGGTTAGCCGATGATTTCTAGGTGAGCAGGGGGTGGAGGAGAGGAAGGGAACGGTGGGAGGGAAGGTTAGGGAGCTCGAGGTGTGGGGGGGGGAGGCGGCCGATTCCCCAGGTAGGCCTTATGAAAGGTAGCTAGTTAAAAAGCGTATACAGCAAATTAAATACATTATTGTGGTAATGGGGCGACAGAAGTATGGGTCTATTATACTTATGGCAGTTATAGGGAATGTAGGCAGCTTGCCCTGTTCCAGAACACCCTTTGATATTCATTCTCTTCAGCAGCGGGGCCAGGGCTTCTCAGAATTAAGTGATGGGTCATTATACTTTAAACACCATGGAGAAGCCTAGATTGGCAATTAAACAGCTCTTGCTGACACTCACTTGTGCCACCCTGTGACCCCCTTTAGATTGAGATGTTGGAGCTCCGGGCCCTCAGCCTGCTAAATTGGCGCAAGGCTCCTCTCCTGACGAGAGCGGGCTCTGAAATCCGCCGGCTTCAAAGGGAGCGAGATCATGTATAAACCATAATGTGGGTGCACCGTGGCTCACAAAAAATAAGGCAGGAAGAGATGAAATGTTACAAGTGCAAGGGGGGAAATGAGAGAATAATGACAAACCTAATGCAGCTCAAAGCAGGCTTGTTGCACAGGAAAATGCATCCCACTGCTTGTGCATAAAATCAAGGCCGGCAGATGACATCCAGTTAACAGAAACGTGTCAACAGTGAAGGAAAGCGCGAGTGGGGAAGGCAGAAGCCCCTGAGACAGCCAGAAACAAAAATTAGTTGTCCTTAACAAGTTAAGGTTCATCATTATATTCTGGCTTGGAGCCATGAAAGCAGACGGGGGGATATAATGAGCTGCTTAGAATTTTTAGGGTGTTTATTGCATTGCACGAAATAGTTGTCTGCAGAAAGGAATTGCTTACATGAAAGTATGTGTATAGCCCATACACACACACACACACACACACACACACACACACACAGAGGAGTCCCTTTCTCTGCCATAAATTTCTCGGGTATAGGAATATGTGTGTAGGTATGTGAACTTGGAAGTATTTGGTCTTCATGGCTACACTAGAAATGTTTCCCTACCCCAGAATGTACTCAGATTCTGATGTCTCACTGTGGTGTTTGGTGTACACACACACACACAGACATACATGCACACAGAGTGTTTTTTATCTCTCCCCCTTCTCTCTCTCTCTGTCTCTGTCTGTACACATATTCTCATTCAGCAGGAAGGCAACATATGTATTTGAGGAATGTCAAGCCTTTAAAATTCACAGTAAAAGCTGCCACTCCACCCACCGCTTCACCCAAGGCCTTCGAAGAACACATGTTCTTAACTTATGTTTTCTCAGAGGCCTTCAAACTCTGGGAAGGAACAGGGTGTAACTTGGGAGCCCAAATACCTCCCAAGCTTTGTTCTTTATTTTTTTGTTGGGGGAGGGGGATGGGGATAGAAGTTACGTATTTTTTCCTCTGTCAGGGTTTTTCTTTTTTCTTTTTTTTTTTAAATCAGGGTTTTTCTTTTCTTTTTTTTTTTTTTTCTTTTTCTTGACACCCTAAAAGAACTCGCATGACTCTTATTTAAAAAATCATGCTGTTGTTACCAAACTTCAGTAAATTTGTCAAGGCAGCTATGGCAGAAAGCCACATCAGGGTAGAAATTCCACGTCAAATGTCCACTGTGATTCTGGCCCCAAAATCTGCATTATTTATTGGTAGTTTCTCTGTTGATCTCTGCAGAGTCAGTTAGAACTTTAATTTTTCATCTTTCTTCTGATGAACATTTGCTGCATTCTTTTGGTAAAATGAAAACTATTTAGATTTCCAGTCCACATAGGAAAAGAACCTTGTAAATAAGTACAGGATCCTTGTGAACTAACTGTCACAATAAAGTCTCACTAGCACCTCCAGTGACCAGCAGAATTGACTTCCTAAAGAGCAGGTGGTCCTTCCCTGGTTGGTACATGGGGTGGTCATGGTTTAGATTTATGCTGAAAGTAGCAGTTGCTTGATCTGGGATCCCCCTTCACCTAAACCTGCCTGATCTTGTCAGGGCAGAACCTAGGGGCTGCCCTTTTGTTTACTTTGGGGGAATCGCCCCTTGTAATCCCTCATTCCACTTTCCTCTACAGTAATGTACATTCCTTTAAGAGGGTGGTTCTTCTAACCAAGAACAAATTGTGACTCCAAGCGTATCAGAAAAGACGAGAGCTATAGGTTGCATCCCGTTGTCAGTTTGGAGATGAACCAAGAGCATTTTAAAATTAGCTCTGAATGTCCTGGCTAGTTTGCATGGTTGAGAAATGCCAATTCACAGCTTAAACCATGTCCAAAATAACATGCCTGAAAGTAAACAGTATTAGAGGAAAAACACAAACTATTCTTTTCTTTATTAGTAATTCTGATCATCCTTTATAAGGTCTTCTAATGCATAGGCAGTATATTAAGAAAAGTAATTTAGGAACCCTCGAATTTTAGAGTGGGAAAGGATATACAAATCCCAGAATTCAAAGCTTCACTCGGGGGGATGTCTGTGTAAAATGCTCTTTTGGGGCCATCTCTGATACAAAGTTATTTAAAACATTCGTGACGTATGTTGGGAACCAGATGGCAGTGATTTGGATTCCCCCCATATTTCTGCCTCACTCTCTCCCATTACTGTCAAAACGATGGGACTACAGCAGCAAAAGAGAAATAAAAATTTTATTGCATTCCCATCAACAGAATGAGGCCTAATGAGGCATGCGCAGCATTGTCAAAAAATGTATGTATACTTCAGCTGCGTTAATATTTTATTTAGCTGTCAATATGCAACAAAAGATTTCATCTTTCATTCTAATGCTGATTAGGACTTAAGAAATAGTCTTAGATGCCACTAATAATGTCCTCCCAAACCAGTGGACTTGTGATTTCCAGCAAGTAGCCCAAGCCTATTTTGTCGCCCAAGTATACTGGCTGAACTTGTCTTTTGCTGAAGATGTTAGCAATCGTAATGTCTCGTGTCAGTAGCAATAATGAAGGGGAAGATTGGCTTTAATGACATTACGAGAATCATTATGTTTAATTTATCACTAATTAATGCTGACAGGTTTCATATGCTTTGGGTTGCTTTCATGTGAGTGTTACATGCTATTTCTTCTTCTTCTTTTTTTTTTTAATTGTGTGTACACATCCCTCCCCATTCGTTCATTTTGATTCTGACGATTTACACAGCTTTCTGTCTTCTAGGTTCCCTCCCCATATGGTCCCACCACATCACACTCTACACACGACTGGCATTCCCCACCCGGCCATAGTCACGCCGACAGTCAAACAAGAATCCTCTCAGAGTGACGTCGGCTCACTCCACAGCGCGTAAGTGTCCCTCTTCTTGTCGTGTTATCCTTTACCATGTGTTTAGCCCGTGGTGCCTGGGTGGTGGCCCTGCCCAAGGTTGACCAGACTTCAGTAAGCACCTGCCTTCCAGAGAGGGAGGCGTGTGCCCACTGTGAGGGAGAACACAACTCTCTGTGTCCTTGGAGGGACTGGGATTTGCAACCACTTCTGCCTGCCAATGTAGGAGACACAGGAGACTCAGGTTTGATTCCTGGGTTGAGAAAGTTCCATGGAGGAGAAAATGGCAACCCAGTCCAATATTCTTGCCTGGGAAATCCCACTGACAGAGAAGCCTGGTGGGCTACAGTCCATAGGGTCGCAAAGAGTCGGACACGACTGAGCGCACATGCACCTACCATTCTGATCCCGCAAGAGACACTGGCTGAGATGGAAACGGTCACAATGTGCTTTTCCCTCTGGCTGGGGAAAATTTTGTGTTTGTAAACCTTAAGAGTCCCTTGGACTGCACGAGATCCAGCCAGTCCATCCTAAAGGAGATCAGTCCTGGGTATTCATTGGAAGGACTGATGCTGAAGCTGAAACGCCAATACTTTGGCCACCTGATGCAAAGAGCTGACTCATTGGAAAAGACGCTGATGCAGGGAGGGATTGAGGGCAGGAGGAGAAGGGGACGACAGAGGATGAGATGGTTGGATGGCATCACCGACATAATGGTCATGGGTTTGGGTGGACTCTGGGAGTTGGTGATGGACAGGGATGCCTGGCGTGGTGCAGTTCATGGGGTCACAAAGAATTGGACACGACTGAACTGAACTGAACTGAAACCTTGAGGAAGTGATGACAAAATCTCCCTCATCCCCCCACCCCCCCGGCCGTTTTTGTTCCATTTCCCAGGATGGAGAAGACCCAAAGTAGAAGTGTGCTTCTCCTTCTGAATTGCTTAGGGTGTTGAGCAGGCAAGGGGGCGGGCTTTCTGCTGTGGAGGAAGCTGACCTCGAGATTGTTCATTGGATTGCATCTGTCTGTTTTGTCCCCATCCAGAAAGCATCAGGACTCCAAAAAGGAAGAAGAAAAGAAGAAGCCCCACATAAAGAAACCTCTTAATGCATTCATGTTGTATATGAAGGAAATGAGAGCAAAGGTCGTAGCTGAATGCACATTGAAAGAAAGTGCAGCCATCAACCAGATCTTGGGCCGGAGGGTGAGTGGCATGCCTGCTGGGAGAAGAGGGCCAGAATAGGACACGGTGGGTGGGGTGACGTGTCCCTGTCCCCATTGGTTTGGAGCATCCTTTTCCTTCAGCCATACTCTGACTCCTGCCATGGTCTGTGTGGAGTTGGAAGCAGTAGCTCTGCCTTCGAGTGATGCTCACAACAGCCACACCCTGGTCTTCCCCACCTGCAGAGAGCAAAGACTCAAACATCATAGACGACAAGTCAGGTTTGGTCTGGGCCCTCCTGTTAGTGCCAGGCCCCTGCAGACCGTAAGCATCTGCAGATGACACCATACGCGACGGAAGCGCTGTCCGTCCCCTGGCCACACTGTGGTTTGTGACACTTCTGCATGTCTCTCTCTCCCCTCACCCTGTCCCCTCCAGTGGCACGCGCTGTCCAGAGAAGAGCAAGCGAAGTACTATGAGCTGGCCCGGAAGGAGCGACAGCTTCACATGCAGCTGTACCCCGGCTGGTCTGCACGGGACAACTATGTAGGTGGCTCCTCTTTGTCAGGACTAGAGGCATCCGTACAGATGTGGCAGATGTCCATCTGGACAGAGGAAATGCAACCTGCCAACCTGAATCGGTCTTCGTACCACCCAGTCTGCCCAGTTGGGACTGTTGGCACCTTACCTCAGCACCAGACTGGAGGATTCTATCTTAGCCTCCTAGGGCTCTATCAACATGGGATAGTTCTTCCAGGAGGAGGAGGGGGGCTGGTTTTCCAGCTCAGAGGATCTGTGGGGCCAGGTTAGGGCTGTTCACACCTTCTTGCCCATGTCTTTGAAGAGACATGGCTCTAGAATACACCCACTGAGGCTTGTGTGTTTCTCAGAAGTGATGCCAGCTGGAAGGAGAGCATTTACTTCTTCTTCACAGCTGTTCTAGCAGGGCCTTCACCCGTAAGAGAGAAAAATGAAATTGTTTGTTTAGGATGTGGTACAGTAGAAGTTGGAAGCCTAGTGCATCTTGAGAGAGGCATGATAGGAATATCCCAGAAAGTAAGTAGCCATCTTTAGGCAGAATGGATGAAGTGACTTGAGAGGTGTGTGTGTTGGGTGATGTGTGTGTCCCTCAGCTTTTTGTTGGCTCTGGGATTTGCCTAATCTCCTCTCCTGAGTTTTAGAAAACACTGTAGGTGTTGTCTTTACTAATCACAGTGATTGTGACAGTCCGGATTCTGCTCCTCCCATAAACTGACTCTCTCCTGTCACCTCTCACCATTCTTTCTTAATCTGTTTTTTTGCCCAGGAGCTCAAGTTCTGGGCTCATTCTCCTCTCTAATGGATGAAATGTCTCTTATTTTGCCTCATACTTCATCGCATGGCATTTAGTTTCATGAAGTGATTTTTACCATCCACTCTTTGGGGGGAGACAGAACCCGTCTTAATGCTGGCAGCAGGCATCTCCTCCTGTTTCTTGTTGATGGTACTGAGCCATGGATGATGATTCTACCATCCATGCTCCCTGACCTAGCTCTCCTCTGGCCTTCACCTGTGGTGGGGAAGCTCTCTGTGTATGTGAGTTGAGACCCATTCAGTTACTGCTGTTTGTGAGCTTACTGTCAGCACAGTATTATGGGGATTGAGTTAAATCAGAGCTCTCTCAGAACTTAACCAGGAAGCACAAGACATCTGTATTGAATGTGTGGGTCCTGGGCAAAGACAGCTTTCTGCTTCCACTGCCCTGCTGTTCCAAGTGTCATCACTCTTTAGTCTCGTACCTTTACTCACACGCTTCCTTCTCTGCTCTTTGCCATGTGGATGGGGAGGACCGAGACCCCTGTGTCTCCATCTCCACAGCCACCCATCTCCTCGTAGGTCCCACGCACTTCACTCAGCAATAGAACGTATTCCTCCTGGGGAGTCGAAACAGGAATCAGTGCTTGTACTTCTCAAAGCGAACTGGCTCCTCTCAGAGCCCTTGTCCGTCACAGGCGATCAGGCGCAGGGTCTTACCCGCTTGGGACCTTTCCGTTCGTCATTAGCGTGTGTGCAGTGGGGGAGCCTTTCTTCTGGAGCTGAAAGGAAGAGGATAAGAAAGCTAATGCCCCCCAACAGGCTTGCTGTTCACCCCCACCTGACCTCGAGGTGGAGACTGCCAACAGCGGGCAGGCCCTGCAGCTCCCACACAGAGCCATCTCATTTCAGGACAGCTGCTCTCCTGGTTTCGGGTCAGAAGTTCTTAACCAGCTTCTCCCTGCTACAGACCCCATTCTTTGAGGAATCTAGAATGGTGCCACAGAGAGAAATTCAGCTACTCTTTAGGTATCCTATCCCCAGTAGACATTTTGGGTCAGACGAGAGTCTTCGTGTACAGCTGTGCAGGGCGTGCACTGCACAACTGTAGGGTGTGCCATTCACACTGTGGTCTGTGTGCATAGCACCTCCTAGAGTTGTATAGGGTGATACCTCCACAAAGGTATGGGCTGACTTTGAGAGCTTCAAAAGAATACTGCCATGGACTTTCTTGGACTCAAGACAAGATATTGCCCAAGGCTTCTTAAGAAGTGTTTTCTAGGTTTCAGAATGTTCTCAAGACACTTGAAATGATTTTAGCTTGGTTTTACACTGGGACAAGGTCTGGTATAATAGGGGAACCCCTGAGAAGACTTCAGAGATCAAGTTTAGAGGTAATATCTGGGCTTGGGGCTATAGGAGCTTTACCACTTATAAGGGGACTGTCAGATTCCTTCATCAGTGGCTCACTGCACGTGGCTTTGAACATATACAGCCCTCCATTTGTTCCTTCTTTCATTCTTTCCTTCCTCTCTCATTTACTTCCTCTCTCATCTCAGGAAGTGGTCTGTGGAACAAGAGTTAAACTGTTCAGAGGTTCAATTGTGGTAGAAAGTGTTTAGCGTGTTTTTTTTTTACCGACTTGACATAGAAGCTTCTATAAATTTTTCTGGGTGCTGTCAAGTTCTGAAGGTTCTTCTGGAAAAAGTTTTCTGAACTAAAATCCTTATGCCTCTTGCACGTTCCTGCTTTACTAGCCCAGCAGGGATAGAAGCCTTTATATGCTACCTTAGCTAAATAGAATTGAGTAAAACAGTCACATTTGGGGGGTTGGACTTGGTACACACTGTGGAACACATGAGAAAAGATTTTGGTCAGAGAGTGATGTCTAACCCGTGACACTGTAATAGAAGTTACTTCGTTTCTAGCTTTTCTATACTGAGTCAACGAGATAAATCCCCAGTAATCTGTATACTGAGGGAGTTTTTCCTCCCTCACCACCATATTTGAGGCCTTTTCTTTCTTTTGTTACATTTAAAGAGATAACAAGGTGGCCGCCTCCCTTGAAAGGCGTCTCCCTATTCACTTTGCAGTGTTGATTCATTCCTTCATATCCTCTTCCAGTTAAAACACAGTCCCTGTCCACTAGAAGCCTTTAGTCTAAATGATCATTGCCTCAGTCATGAACATCTCAGTTTTGTATCCCACATGGATAGCTTCCCAGGGGTGAAGGAATTGTCACCTGCCTTTCAGAATACATTTCAGGAGATTGAACGTGGGTGAGCCCTGTATTAGAGATGACTGGGAAGCCCTTGACTGCATGGATGACGCACTGCCTGGAATCCAACCATTTCTGTGCCTGGCTGAGATTTTCTGTCAGGCTCCTAAATAAACTGAAACTAGCTCCTCCTGCCTGTCCCATCATGGCCAGGCAATGCTTTGCTCCTGATGTGGGAGAGGCACAGACATGAAGGTGGGCTGCTAGGGCTCATGAGAAAGCACACAAACTCCTTTCTTTGCTCCTTCTTTAAAGTTGTATGCCAAGGAACGGAACATGTTTCTAGTGGAAACAGTGAACTGAGGGCCCAGACAGATTTCCCTGATGCCACAGGCCCCCAGATTTGAGAGGCTTCCTGTACGACTCTTGACCCTCAGCCCTCAGGTAGATCTAAGACTCAGGCATCCCTGCCTTGGCGTCCCCCTCACAGAGCCGTGTGGGTTCTCAGGTTTGCTGCCTATGGCTTTTCTTTCTTGTTTCTTCTTGAGTTGATGTCAACACACCATGAGAACTTGGTTTAAGTCACTCAGTCGTGTCAAACTCTTTGTGACCCAATAGACTATATAGTCCATGGAATTCTCCAGGCCAGAGTACTGGAATGGGCAGCCTTTCCCTTCTCCAGGGTATCTTCTCAAGCCAGGGATCGAACTCAGGTCTCCTGCATTGCAGGCAGATTCTTTACCAGCTGAGCCACCAGAGAAGCCCAAGAATACTGGAGTGGGTAGCCTATCCTTTCTCCAGCGGATCTTTCCAACCCAGGAATCGAACCGGGGTCTTCTGCATTGCAGACAGATTCTTGACCAGCTGAGCTACTAGGGAAGCCCAAACTAAGCTGACCACAAGGCAAAGGATATTTGGATATTCTGAAACAAGTAGATGTGACATTTTGCTTGTGACATTTCATATAGACCAGGTAGCTAATTCATATGGATGGGACCAGAGCTATTGGGGTGAGGGAGAACTCTTTTCTGATAAGGAAGGAGGTGGTAAGGAAGAAGGGGAATTCTTCCCCACTCCCATTGCACATCCACATCCGGGGGCAGACCATCAAGATAGCAGGGAGGGTCAGGTGGAGAATGTGATTGACTCCATGCAATTCTTGACCCATAACCCATTAAGAGCCTTCCTCAGAGGACAAGGCAGTAAATATGAAGGCAGCATAGCCTAGTGGATAAGGGCTGTGGAACAGAGATCACCTGGGTTCCCATCGACAGCATCATCTGATAGCTGTGTCATTTCAGGAAACTGCGTGCACCCCTGTATCTCGGCGTCCTTATCTGTAAAATCTGATGGTGATTGTGCTTGTTGTACAGGATTGTGTGAGGATAAATGGGTCACTAGGCATAGCACACTTAAAACCATGTCTGGCACATAGTATGTGCTCAATAAATGGTAGCTGTTATTACTAGTAGTATTATATGTGTGCTAGTCACTCAGTCGTGTTCGACTCTGCAACCGCATAGACTGTAGCCTGCCAGGCTTCTCTGTCCATGGAATTCTCCAGGCAAGAATACTGTGAGCGGGTTGCCATTCCCTTCTCCAGAGGAACTTCCCAACCCAGGGATCGAACCCTGGTCTCTTGCATCGCAGGCAGTTTCTTTACCATTTGAGCTACAGGGAAGTCCATATTACTAGGAGTATTATAGTCATTACATAAGTGGAAAATAGTGAGGACCAAATGTTCTCCTTTGTGGATGTCCACTCAGCAGTTTGAAAAGGAGCTCAGATGGTTTCTGGTTTTATTTCGCCTTTTTTTCCCCCCTTCTGACTTTAAAATCAAGACCCACGCTACAGTGCTAAGAAAAATCCCCTACTAAGTCTTAATTTTTTGATTCAGAGCGAGCAGCTTTTGGCCTTAGTAAGAGATTTGCATGGGGCAAGGGGTTCTCTTGGCCATCTCAAAATCATTCATTCGTCCCTTGGCTCTTGGGCCACTTCCAGTCCTGTCTCTCCACACCTGTCTGAATCTTTCCCCATCCAGGCCTCATTTCCCCTTTTATGGATGCTCTGGATCAAGTTTGAGTGTGGATGTATAGGAAAAGAAGTCCTTCTTCTCTGCCCCACTGATTCCATCTCTTCCGCTAGGCATGCGCTCCTCTAGCTGGAGCACGGTTGAAGGGCACTTGGACTGAAGGGAACCGGGGGTTGGAAAGCACTCAGGAGTGGGTGTGGCTGGAGATGGCAGGTGCTGCCCTCCTGCCTCCTCCTCGCCAGGTGAGCCCAGACGTTGCCATCGTCCCATCCGTTTCCTGAAATAATGCCCTGTGTCTCATCTGTTTGTCTAGGGGAAAAAGAAGAAGAGGAAAAGGGACAAGCAGCCCGGGGAGACCAATGGTAAGTTAGAATAAGCGGGACAGAGGAAGGGAGCTGTACGCTGAGGACCACTCTTTTATGTCAGGCTTCTATCTGGGGAGGCAGGAGAAATTCAAGGCCAGGATGCTGTGGGGTGGGGGGAACCCATCCTAGCCAGCCTTTTTGTTTATGCATTTTAATTAATTGCTTCATGACTGCCCTTTTAAAGCTAGTAACATTCATTGTTGCATGAAAAGCACATTGTAAGTCTAGTGGAATGTGTTTTTAAATAACTGCAGAGCCTGTAAGCGGAGAGCGGTAGGCATGCCTAGACGGGGATTTATACAGTCTGCTTATTTTGTATGTGTCTGAGTAAGGATGAGGAGGGGGCTAGGGGAGCAGAGGGGGTGTGTGCGAGTGTTTGATGTTAACTGGGCTGTTCCTGAATGTTCTGATGCATGCCTTTACAGTGGTCTATTGCACCCGATTTAAATTAAGGAGGTTTGTCATTCTCTAGAAGAAATTAGAAATACTGCATAGGCAATCTCAGAGGGCCCTTCGAGAAGGCCAGGCTTTTACAAACAACGACAAAAACATTGTGAAGGCTTTGTATAATTTGTTCTTTTTTTTCAGAACACAGCGAATGTTTCCTAAATCCTTGCCTTTCACTTCCTCCGATTACAGGTGCTAATGTCATTTTGAGTCATTAAAATAGTTGATAAACTGTTTTTTAATTTTTCTTGCCATTATAGTTTTATTAACATGAAAACACGTATGACCTTTGAACATTCTTTAAAATGACCATCTACATGATTTCGTATGTTTCAGTAGATTTTTTTTTTTGCTTTTGTTGTTTTTTTTTTTGAATTTAATTTAACTTCTGCTTTGTTTGTTTATTTTTCCCGTAACAGTTGTTTAAGCCATGATGACAGTGATTTAGAGTTGAACTAACTGTGCAAATTGAATATGCAGTATTTCTTTCAAAGAGACTGGTTAAAAAAAAAAAAAAAAAAACACCAACAACAAAATGGAAGGAATTCAGTAATAAACCTCCTTAATCTAATGGCATTTTTTCATCGCTCCCACTAAGTTTTCTCACGCAAGCATGCATCCGCAGTATGATTATTTTTTTCCTTTGCTTTTTTTTATTTTCATTTTTTTTCTTCTTTCACTTTTCTGCTCATAACTTGCAAATCCACTAGCATTTCACTGACTGTACCTGCTTAAGTGCCGCTGTGAGCTTCTAACTAACTCCTAACAGCTCATTCACACAGCCTATTGACCTTTATCTGTTCCTCTCTTAATATTAATGAAAACAGATTTAAAGAAAAGATGAACATTCCAAAAGCTGCAATATCCCAGTACCACGACCCCTTTTCTTTCTTTCTTTCTGTTTCATTTTGTTTTGTTCTGGTTTCATTTGTAGTTTTTTTTTGTTTTTTTGTTTTTTTTTTCTTTTTTAAACTGTTGTACTCTGAGAAGAAAAGAGCATGTGACAAACTTAATTCCCTCCTTTGCTTTATTTTCTTCTTTAAGAAAAACAAATTGAGAGGAAAAAAAAGAAAAAGCAGGACCAAAAGAAGAAAGACATTATTTAAAAGCTAGTTCTTGAGGCGCTAACATCCCTTTATCAGCTCAAACAAATCGGAGAGACAGTCCTCAAAGAAGGGATACTGCAGCTTTATTTGCAACAGCTAATTTCACGAGTTGAATATAAGAATGTGATTTTTTTTTTTACCTTTTTTTTTTTAAATTAAAGTTAAAAATCAAAAGTCAATATTTTGTGATCAGTAACCAGGTCATTGATTTATTCCCTTTTTTATTTTTATTTTTTTCTTATTTGTATCTCTCTCTCCCCCCCCCCTTCCCTCTCTCTCTCCCTCCCTCTCTCTCTCTTTTCTCTTCTCTCCCTCTCCCTCTCTCCCACGTCCTCCTCTGCTCGCTTCTCTCTTGAACTCATTCAGACCTGAGCGCTCCTAAGAAATGCCGAGCGCGCTTTGGCCTTGATCAACAGAATAACTGGTGCGGCCCTTGCAGGTGTGTATAGATTTCCCAGATTCGCTGTGCTGGTTTGCAGCTGGTCTATTCGGTCCTTTCCCCCCTTCTCCGGCCTGTTGCTTTGTAGCTCTGTGTGTGGATCTTAGGAGACAGGAGGGCGCGGGACACTGCTCTGTGAGGGACGTGCTTGTCCTCCTCGCTGCTGCTAGCCAAAATGCCACTGTAAAACAGCATCATTTGTGCCTCCTCGGGTCAGTGACAGCAAACCCCAGCGCGCCCCCTCCCAGGGAATGTTGCCTGCCAACCCCTTCTTCCCGACCGCCCGGGATGGGGGCTCAGTGACATCCATCGTAAGCCTGGCCTAGGTAGAAACAAACAACGTCACCTTCTCCCCCTCCTCTTCTCTCTCTGTTTTTATTTTTTTTATTTTTTCCTGGTTGTTTTTTGGTTTCTGGTTGTTGTTTTTTCTTTTTGTGTTTTATCATTTTATTTTATTATTTTTTTCTTTTGACGCATTGAAGTCCTTTCCTTTCATGTCCTTGGTAAGGGAAGACAGGCACGTAGAACCAAGGTGATAGCGAAGACAAGTCAGCTGTAGCCGAGATTTTACGTCCAACTGAGCACGACCCACCATTGTGTTGTGTTTTTTTGTGTTTACCTTATGCTAACAGATGCAAATACTCCAAAGAAGTGTCGGGCACTGTTCGGGCTTGACCGACAGACTTTATGGTGCAAACCGTGCAGGTATATTCCCTACTGCAAGGCCTTTGGGAAAAATCAAAGCATTCTGTCCTTCTGGTACCTTAGTGCGTCAATATATTTTGACCTCATTCCCATCTACTTCCCCGCTGGCATCAATGACTAATGATCCTCATTCTTCAAAATTTCTTTGCTAATTTTATGCTGTGTCCTCTCCCTCCTTTTCTCTTTCTCTCTTTCCCCTGCTCTTATAAATAACATATCCCTGGTGGTAGGACCTAGACCACAGCCCTCACAGGCCAGGACGGGCACTTAGCCTTTTGCTCCGAAATCCAGCATCCTGGATCTGGCCAGGCCCTGTCAGAGCTTCTGTGGCGTGTCTGCAGGACAGAGGGAGACCACCGTGTCCCAAGGTTTGAATGAGCTCAGATTGGCAGTGATAGCATTCCCATGTACTTGGAGTCTAGACACTTGGAGAAGGGCTCTGGGGGCAGGCTTCTTTTAGTTTTGTTTTGTGTTTTTGTTTATTTTCTGTTTCAAAACCACATCTCTGGACAGAGGAGCTTGGTTAGCTGACATTGTTTTACAGTGCTGAAAAGAAGCGTGGCATTGAACGGCATGCACCAGCTACAGGGCCACAAGCAGAGGTCACGTACTGCAGTGCCGCTGGCCTGCACAATGGAAAAAAAGAAATATATATGTATGTGTCTATACATATATTTAGAGAGACAGAGCTCTGGTTCCAAAGGGAATCAGAAGAGCCCAAATTAAACGCCTGTGTTCCACCTGCAGGTTCCATCCAACCTGTAATTTCAGGGAAGGTATAGGTACTTCCTTCTTGGTGGAGGGATGCCAGCTAGTTCCTGTCTCATTTCCTTTCCTTTAATGACCACCTTTGGTTAAATTTGTTGTTTCTTTGTTCTGATACAAGCAGTCTTTGAATTTGGAATATTATGATGGTAGGTATCTCAACACCCAACACGCCCCCCTGTCTGTAGTGCCTCCCTTGTCACATGTCCCTTTCCTCCACGCCCTTGCCATGTGTTCCATGTTTAGACATTAGCTCCCATGTCCATTCCATCACGTGCATGCCCACCGATCTCCTGTGTCTCTCTCCCCCTCCCCCAACGCCTTACGAGAGATCAGCGAAGCACCTCGTGTTGCCCAGACGTTGAGGGGAGCTGGGGCCCACGAGTCTTTCTTGAGAGAGACCTCCCTCCACAGGCAACTCTCTGCCCATTGAGTGAGGACAGGGGGCCTTGGGTGCTTGTCCACCAGGAGAGGGAACCCCCACCTGTTCTGTGAGACAACAGTGTCCCTGGAGGTGACAGATGGTTTTGCCACTCAGATCTTGTCTGTACAACAGAAAAGAGTTTCATGGTGCAGCTAGTGGAGGGCATCAGAGATTTCACTAGGGCTGGCCTAGAAGATGGAGCCCCTGATGACCCTTTATAGGCAGTGAATTTGCATCAAACCTTTATTTGTGCTGAGTAGGAAGACGATTAGCTGCAGAATCACTGCTCTGCCCTGGCGAAAGGTTAGCTTCTCACAGGGCACGCTCCTAAGGGAGGGTTCCTCATGCTCTGTAAGAAAGGTGCAGCCGACACCGTTGTGCGCCCCTCGCAATGTGGTTTGTTGCCTGCTTTGTGTATTTTATTTGTAGGAGGTGAGTGGTGGTGTATGAATCCCTCTTACTGCTTTGGAAGAAGTTAACTGCGAGTTAGACCTGGCATTTTGGGGGCTGAAAGTTATCATGTCCAACATTGACTAACTAGATACTCCCTTCTCAGACCCAGCTCCAACCTCATGTAAACCCTGAGTGTGGAATCTTCCTCAGAAACAAGAATTTTCGTGACGTTTTTAACAAAGCAAAACAAAAACAAACGACCCCAAGGCTTCGGAGCTGCTTCATAAACATGGTTTTCTACAGTGCAGCTCGGGGGCAGCTGTCGATGTGCAGCGTGGCTGCTCAGACGCCGAGCTGTCCCCCCCACCCCCCCACCCCCCCAGTGCCATCTTTGCTCTTTCCTGCCTCAGCAGCCTTAGACCTTCCCCGAGGGCCATTTTTCCTTCGTTGGGGTTGTTGTCTCCTACTGTAAAAGCTTTAGCAGTGCATATCTGCTCCTTTAAGGGTGTGATTCCAAAATAGGGTCAGGAAGAACTCTTACTTTCCTTTCAGATTGAATTCATAAGAAGCCAAAAACCAATTTTTCAGGGGCCACACCTTGATGAGAGGTGGAGCCTAGGTGGGGGAGGATGAGAATGGGTCTCGTCCCTTTTTTCCTCCACTTTTCCTCTTGACTTTGCTAGAAATCTCTGGTTTGATGCTAAGTCAGTCATACAAGATATGCTTTTAAAAAATAATAAAAGAATTTGCAAAACAGGGCATTTTCTGGCCTGTCCGAAATGTGTGGGTTCCAACTGCCATCTGCTTTGCCACCTCTTAGAAGGAGCGGTCACCATGTCATTCATAGTCCTTGTGTCTGTGTTCAGATGCCCCCCACTCATCCCCAGGACATGGAAACTTCATACCATGAGGAGGGCAGACGGGGGGAGGGGAGCACCAGAAATGTTCCCAGCTAATCAGGGCTCCTCGCTCCCTGCACAGGGTTTCTAATTTTACTTGACATTTGAGGACATTTTAACAAGATTCTGTTTTGAGCCCACCAAGTTGCTTTTCCCATCTTTTCACTCTGCCCTAATATAGCATGGAACGCTGCTGGATGTCATCCCCTTGTTTCCTGTTATTTTCTTCCCCCTGTTCTTTCTTTGTCCCTTTCCTCTTTCCCCTCTCTCATTTGTCCCTGTTGCTTTCTCAGTTTTGCTTATTGCCCCCCCCCCCCCTTCTTCTCCCATTTTTAAAATGCATGGACATCTTAGTTTTTTGAGCATGTTTTGATCTGCAGGCTAAGGTGGTGTAAAACTCTTTAAGAGGCTTAATTATTTTATCTTGGGTTTCTGGGATGGGAGCAGAACCCATAGTCCGTTTCAGTCTATCCCAGAGGAGGAAAAGGAACCTTGTCAACTGAAAGGTGAAGGCAGACTGCCCTCACTTTCCTGGAGTTCCTTCCAACCCAGGGCAGGGATGGAGAGGCCCTGAAGCCACTGGCCCAATGGGTCTTGGCCTCTGGGAGGCAGGAAGGACTGAGCATGTGCCCTTTCACCCCCCGCCTCCCCTCCCTCCTGCCATCTTGCTGAGTCCACACCCCATGCACTGAGGGGCATCATCAGACAGCTCTGGGGCACGGACCCAAGGAGGGACTCAGTGCACTCACTTCCTTTCAAAGGCCACTGACATCTGACAGTGGTGGCCTTCCAACTGGGCAGCATCTTGGTTGCTTTCCCATGACCGGAAGCCAGCCGGTACTTACTTTTAGACAGTGTTATCGGCCGCGGTTCGGACTGTATTCTTAGGTCAGCACATCCCCTGTATCTGCATTATTTTTAATAGCATGAATGGGGTTGGTTGCCAGGATCACCTGTCCTACCACATATGATCCCATCAAACTGGGATGAATACTAGGGGGAAGCTGTGAGGTCACACGCTCAATGTCTTGAACTGACTTCACCCACCTCAGATGGATAAGCACAAGAGGCTCTGAAATTCTCAATCCTATTTCTTACATAAACAGGAAATGGAGAGGGGAGACTCTGGTTTTGGCGCAGGGCAAAATTAGTCTTTCTGGTTTAAACACTACTCCTGATACCCGCCCCCCCCCCCCCCCCCAAGAAAGTCCATGCTGCGACTCCCTGGCACTTCTTCTTTGTTGTCACTTCTTTGTGACGGGCTGAACCCTTATTCACTGGCCCTGGCATATGGACCAGGGCAAGTTGCCCCTCCATCCCCATTCTCACCATCTCTCCTTCTAGCCTTCTCACTATCGGGTGGGGGAGGGGAAGACCCCAAATCTTAAAAAAAAATTAAATAAAAAAGTTTGAATCATAATTTAATCCACAACCTGCAGGCCATACAACCAGTTATTCTTGTTCCTTTGGATCATTTTCTGTTTTTCTTATTCTTCCCCCTCCCCCACCTTTGTTTATCCTCTTCTACCTGTTTTTTGGTGGTTTTATTTTTTTGTTTTTTATTTTTGTTTTGTTTTTGAGTTTATTTGGTTTTCTTTTTGTTTCCCTCTCCCTCCACGCCCCCCCTTCACAACTGATTCTGACCTCTCTTGATTTGGTGTGGTTCTTAACAGACAAGCCCAAAACGTTCTCTGGGCGCCAGCAGCCTCTGATGGTGGTGGTGGTGGTGGTTGGTGGTGATGGTGACGGTGGAGGTGGTGGGATAAAACCTTTTCAGCCTCTTGCTCGCGCTGCCTTTAAGCTCTGTGGGCTCAACAGTCAGCATTTTGAGTTTCAGATGGATATGAGGCGCCTGGGGAGGGAGCTCTGTCTTTCTCTTCTACACACATGTACACACACACACCCACTGAGGGGTGGGGGTGGTCGCGGTGGAAATGGAGGGGGATGGTTACCACGGGAAATGAAGGGACGTCTGAGCCAAAAAAAAGAAACGAACAGTGTGGACGCGGCCGCTTTGTGTCACGGTCCACAGGTGGCGCCCTTGAGCCTGCTCGCTTATACTGGGTCAGAAGTGGGGCGGGGGGTGTTTAGCGGGGGCAGGGGAAGCAGGTAGGTAGGGAGTTGTGTGGTCTGACAGTTCATTCGCCAGAGCGGGCGTTATAGCTCAGCGAGCCGGGCACCCCAGCGTGACGTTAAACGTCCCCTGGCCGCTGGGCGATGTCTCCCCGGGGGGGATCGTTAGGCGGCGGTCCTCTTGCCGCTGAGCAGTAAGATAACTCTCTCCCTTGGCATCTCTGCCCTTTATTCACAGATAACTCTCTCCCCTCCCTCCCCTGTTTCTAGGAGAAAAAAAAAGTGCGTTCGCTACATACAAGGTGAAGGCAGCTGCCTCAGTCCACCCTCTTCAGATGGAAGCTTACTAGACTCGCCTCCTTCCTCCCCCAACCTGCTAGGCTCCCCTCCCCAAGACGCCAAGTCACAGACTGAGCAGACCCAGCCTCTCTCGCTGTCCCTGAAGCCCGACCCCCTGGCCCACCTGTCCATGATGCCTCCGCCGCCCGCCCTCCTGCTTGCCGAGGCCGCCCACGGCAAGGCCCCCGCCCTCTGTGCCAACGGGGCCCTGGACCTGCCTCCCGCCGCTCTGCAGCCGCCTGCCATGCCCCCCTCATCTCTGGCACAGCCGTCGACATCTTCCTTACATTCCCACGGCTCTCTGGCCGGGACCCAGCCCCAGCCACTGTCCCTCGTCACCAAGTCTTTAGAATAGCTTTACCCTCCTCAGCCCCGGGTGCTTTGTGGAGTGTTTTCCTTTTGCTTTTTCTTTATTTCCGGTTCCGCCCCACCCCACCCCCACCCTTCGGCCCGGTTTTCGTGTTGTCCTCTTTTCCGTTTGTGCCATGTGGCTACATTAGTTAATGTTTATCGAGTTCATTGGTCAATATTTGACCCATTCTTATTTCAATTTCTCCTTTTAAATATGTAGATGAGAGAAGAACCTCATGATTCTACCAAAATTTTTATCAACAGCTGTTTAAAGTCTTTGTAGCGTTTAAAAAATATATATATATATACATAACTGTTATGTAGTTCGGATAGCTTAGTTTTAAAAGACTGATTAAAAAACAAAAAGAAAAAAAAAGCAATTTTGAAGCAGCCCTCCAAAAGGAGTTGGTTCTGTATTATTTGTATTAAATACGAGCTTGCGAACCAATCATTTTACATCTGGTTTTTAAACCATAAGGGCACAAGGAATGCAGTGCCATTTACTTTTTTTTTTTTCCTCTGTGTGAAACAACTTTTATTGTGATGTTACTTGTTATTGTTTAAATGTACAGAAACAAAGGGTTAAAATGTGTTAATATACCTTGTTCCATGGTGTTGTTCTTTTGGGGGGAGGGGGTTGCTATTCAACAATTAATGGAATCACATTGCTGTTGGACCAGTAGTATTTATTGCTTTAGAGATTGCTCGTCGAACCTGTACGTTGTCCCTTTTAAAATATGTTTTCCTTTTTCTTGAAACTGTATAAAGTTTTTTTCCCCTTAGCATAAGCATCTTATATATAACAACTCATTTGTACAAGGTTTTTAAGTTTATATATAAAATGTGTATATATATATTTTTTGTTTCCCTTTTGGACTTTTTTTTTTTTCCCGTATGAAACCCAGATACCGCCAAATGGACGTTAATAGTTGCATTAAAGGATCAGTAGCATTAACAAAAGTTGCTTTAAAAGCCATTATGTAAAACAAGACTTGAACATTAGTGAGGGAATCTTAGCAACGTTGTACCAGCAGCAGTGGGAATTGTCCCGTTTCCCCTGTGAACTCACAGGCGAGCACCCTGCACCCTGAGGACATGGACTGACCGTGTGCAAAACTTTTTATGTGCCAAAATTCTCAGTGACTTTAGCTTTCTCCCTCTTTTTGATGCTGTAATTTTCGTTCATCATGTTTTGCTGTGATGTTACATAGGTAGATTTGTATGTAGTTTTAATGTCACCTATAACAAGACGTGTTTGGTAGCAGATTGTCCAGAAAGCATTTTAAATGAAGAGGTATAAACCCTTAAGGGCCAAAAATTCTGTATATTAGATTACTCTTAAAGGAAAAACCAGCTGCCGCTTTTATGTATCCCTGTGACATACAAGTAGGTAGCAAACTTTAAAAAAAAAAAAAAACCTAGGCATGTTGATGTTACAAAATGCTGTATAAAGCTAAAACCTGTTCATTCAGTGCCATTGTAGTTGACATGAAGCGATTGTAAAACTGTCTCCGGTTTTTCTCTGGTTTATTAAAATGCTAACTATAACATTTTTTTGTGAATACTTTGAATGTTTCCTAACAATTGTGATGTTACTGTTCCGTTTTATGCTCTTATTCCAATTTCATTTTTAATGGTTTGGAAGCCATTTTTGTAATGAATAAATGTTCATGCTGTACAGTATCTGTAGCATGCCATTCTGGATTAATAAAAGCAACTTAGTATGTGCAGATAAAGGCTGGTCACTTGTTTCTATAATTTGGGTTTTATCTCTGGGGAAACTAGATCTGCCTTCAGCAAGAGAAATGTGTTCCCAAGGTGGAACTTGAGACCCGGTGGTTGGTGTGGGTGATGGGTGATGATGTGGATACCAGAAAGGGTCCCTGAACTCTTTTTATTTTCCCATCTCATTCTTAATGCCAGTTTGGCATAGTTTGTGTACCTGGTTGGTTCATTTCTGAAAGCAAATGTCACTCTTAGGGCTATAAGACTGACACTCTGATATATCTGAGTTGGCCCTCTGAGTATCAAGCAGAAATGATCTAATACTTATTAATGAAACTTAGTTCACCAGGAGGGAATATAAGAAAGCACATCATTTTAAGGATCATTGATGTGAAAGTATCCTTATTTCTTTGTAAGAATCACATGTAAGGAGAGATGCCAGGGTGAGCGATTGTTAAGCAAGAAGGATTTTAGAAAACGGATCAAGGTATTTCTGTTACAAGTTTGCAGGGAGGACTCTTGCTGTCCCTGAGACTCAAGTTCAGGACTCCACCCTGGCCAGCATGCAAGTTCACCGCCATCACCAACGAGGGCCACAGTAAAGATCATCCCAAGGTTTCCACTGCATTCATTTCTCATGCTGGCTAGGATGATGGTTGGATAGATGGGCGCATATGTAGTTCTGCTTGTCTGGATAACCTCACCTTCAAAGGCTGTGATTTCACTGGCCACAGAAGCAGTCTGTCACCACCCTTGTTACTTCCAGTTACACAGTATCATCATCAAGGACTTTAAAGCTCCTTGGAAGCTCTGCTTTGCTCAAGTTGGTTTTTGTTCTGTAAAATCTTGGTATTTTTGTCTTTAGTTGTTTTGTATATCCAGGAAAAAGTGATTCTGGTTGTCCTTCCCTATTTTATTTTGCACATTGGGACCAGGGTAATCTTTGAAAACATTTGTGTCATTTGACAGTATCTGTTTTTTTGTGGCAGTGTGCCAAGCCATTGATGAGCATTTTCTCATTTCTTCCTGACATTACCACCTGAGGTAGATTTTATCCTCTAACTCCACATTCTGCTTTATTTTCTAAAACTGGGTTTAGGAACTCAGAGTGTGTGTCTTGTTCAAGACCACACAGCCTGTAGGGTGGTGGAGCTGGGATTTAAGTTCAGCCCTGACTCCAAACCCATACTGTTAATACTAAGATATACTTCCTTGCATAATAAAGATTCTGCATCTCTCAAACAGAGTGATGGGATGGTCCTTTTGAAGACTTCCTTGTTTGCCCCACCCCTTCCTCCCCAGCACATACTTAGTTTCTCATAAATGTATTTTTGCTCTCCTGCTTTCAAGGATGTGGTTGCTCTCTGCCTGGAAGGTCTGCTTTGCTCCTGCAACCTCATTGCTCATCCTTCAGTTCCCCTCGTAGATGATAGTGATGATGTCTCTCTTCTGTGTGACCTTTCAGCTTACTGTTTTTCCCTCCCATTAACGCTCTCACCCACCATCGTGTCCATTGGATGTGGCCGAGTTAGGCCAGTAATAGCACGATTCAGTTTCATGGACATTTTGGGCTGGATAATTCTCTGTGGTAGAGGGCTGTCCTATGCATTGTAGGGTGTTAGCATCCATGGCCTCTACCCAGTAGATGTCAGAAGCACCCCACTTCCCAGCAGTCATGACAGTCAGAAATGTCCTCTGACATTGCCAAATGCCTCCTCGGGATAAAAAATCACACCCAGTTGAGACTCATTGCTCTAGAGAGCCCCTCAGGAGGACAGGAGATTTGGTGTCCTCCTGCTCTATACTAGGGTTCTGGTTGAACACCTGGCACATAGATGGTGTTCCATTCATGTTTGTTGGGGGAAAGAATAAATGAAGTTGGCCAACTCCACACCTGTATTGCCAGGAAGTAAGAGAATGGAAGCTTTCCATAATGCTTCCAAATGTGTTCCTAGAACTTTCAAGTTCTCAGTTATTTCCTTAATCCTTTCAGCCTTGCTGGAATATAACTCATTGCCCTTGTTATAAAGGCTGAAAAATACCAGGTCGGGGTAGGGGCTGTTCCTCCATCATCAGCCCAGCCTGGGTACAGATCTCTTCCTAAAATTCAAAATACAGATCACCCAGCTCTGTGCTTCCATATCTACAACACTTGAGCTTTGAGGATCTTCTCTCTACCCCAATATAGAAGTTCCTTTCCCTCCAAGCTTGTCAAATGCCAGGCCAAGTCCTTGCCCTTCATCTCTTTTCTTGACATCAGTTTGATTTCTTCCTACCTATGGAGTTTACTTTCAAACTGAACATCTTCCCATTTCATCCATGGGAAGAATCTGTGGCTTTTTGTTACTAAGGGACCCTAAGACAACATCTAGGAGCCCATGACTCAATCCCTGAGCCACATGCTCCCTGACCTCAGTTGGAACCTGGCCAAGGAAGTTTGTGTAGTTGTTCAGTCACCAAGTCATGTCCAGCTCTTTGCAACCCCATGGACTGCAGCATGCCAGGCCTCCATGTACCTCACCTTCTCTCAGAGTTTGCCTAAGTTCATGTCCATTGAATCAGTGGTACCGTCCAACCATCCCATCCTCTGTTGCTCTCTTCTTCTGCCCTCAATCTTTCCCAGCATCAGGGTCTTTTTCAATGAGTTGGCTCTTTGCATCAGGTGGCCAAAGTTTTGGAGTTTCAGCTTCAGCATTAGTCTTTCCAGTGAGTATTCAGGGTTGATTTCCTTTAGGATTGACAGGTTTGATCTCCTTGCTGTCCAAGGGACTCTCAAGAGTCTTCTGCACTACAGTTCAAAAGCATCAATTCTTTGGCACTCTGCCTTCTTTAATATGGTTCACCTCACATCCATACATGACAACTGGAAAAACCAGTCTTGACTATATGGACATTTGTTGGCAAAGTGATGTTTTTGCTTTTTAATAAATACATTGTTTAGGTTTGTTATAGGTTTCCTGCCAAGAAGCAGTTGTCCTCTAGTTTCATGGCTACAGTCATCATCCACAGTGATTTTAGAGCCCAGGAAAAGGAAATGTGTCACCACTTCCACCTTTTCCCATTCTATTTGCCCTGGAATGATGGGCCTGGATGCCATGATCTTAGTTTTTTTAATGTTGAGTTTCAAGCCAGATTTTTCACTCTCCTCTTTCACCCTAATCAAGAGGCTCTTTAGTTCCTCTTTGCTTTCTGCCATTAAAGTGGTATCATCCTCGTTATCTGAGGTTGTTGGTATTTCTCCCCATAGTAGTAGTGTGTATTAGTCACCTGTGGCTGCTT